GGACAACCCCTCCATGTCCACACTGGCTTTCAGGGTCGATCCTAAATCGGAACATTTCCAGGGATTTCACATTTGACCAAACAGGGTTTTTCAGGTTCTTTCTTGTTTTCGCGCTTTCTCTCAGAAGGCCGCGGAGCTGCGCGGATCCCTGGGCACTCGCAGGTTCTCAGGAAATCGAAAGCCGCATTCCCTTTAATGGGGTCTGAAACCGGTGGGTTAAAGGGGGAAACCACCGTGGGCATCCTCAGCTGTGGGACCGGTTGGATTGAAAAATTCAGGTGTTCGGCTTCGAACGAGGTCAGGCTTGCTTGTTCCTGGGAGAAAGCCTGTGGAAAAGGTGGGGGAGCTCTTGCCCAAGTCACGCAAATGGGGTGATTTCGTCCATATTTGGGAGAAGCAAGCACAACAGCCCCCAGGCCTCCCACCTTCCCGGGCGCCTCTGTTCCCGCCTCCTTCTTCCTTTCCTGGAGTGTATTTGACACACAAGGTTACAACAGTTGTGCAGCGTAGGGACTGGACGTCTATACACACCACCAGACAGCCGCCACAGTGAGCCTGTCGCCAGAGTTCACGCAGGACCACTGGCTAAATGCCCCTGCTGCATCTGTTTTCCAGCTGGGAGTCTGTGTCTCCATGCCCTCCCCAGGTCCCCACCTCACGCCCTGCAACCTCCAGTATGCTCTCTGAACCTAGGAGTCTGGGCTGGGTTTGTTTTCTTAGATTCCACATTTAAGTGAAATCATGTGGTATTTGTCTTTGCTGACATTTCACTTAGCATACCCTCTGGTCCATCCAAGCCGGTGCAGGTGGCAAGACCTCACTGCTAATTTGATGGCTCAGTAATACAACACTGTATACATACACACCCCATCTTCTTCATCCATTCATCACTCGATGGACACCTGGGCTGCTTCCGCATCTTGGCTGCTACAAACATGGGGTGCATGTCTCCCTTCAAATCAGTGTTTTCACTTGCTTTGAGTAAACACCCAGCACTGCGATTGCTGGATTGTAGGGAAGCTCTATTTTTAACGTCCTAAGGAGCTTCCACACAGTTTCCAGAGTGGCTGCACCAGTTTGCATTCCCACCAACAGTCCCCCTTTCTCTGCATCCTTGCCAACACCTGTTTTTCTTGTGTTGTTGATTTGAGCCATTCTGACAGGTGTGGGGTGGGCTCTCACTGTGGTTTTGGTTTTATTTCCCTGATGGTGAGTGATGCTGAGCATCTTCTCACGCGTCTGTTCTCCATCTGTTGCTAATATTCTGTTGAGGATATCTACATTTATGTTCATCATGGATACTGGCCTGTAACTTTCTCTTCTTGTGGCATCCGTGTCTGGTTTTGGGATCAGGGTAATCCTGGCCTCACAAAATGAGTTTGGAAGCATTTCCTCCTCTATCAATTTTTTGGAAGACTCTGAGAAGAGTAAGTTTTAAATCTTCTTTGAATGTTTGGTAGAATTCCTCTGGGAAGCTGTCCTGCCCTGGACTTTGGTTTGCTGAGAGGTTTTTGATTTCTGACTCAATCTCCTTCCTAGTCATCAGCCTATTCAGATATTCTATTTCTTCATGATTCAGTCTGGGAAGATTCTAAGTTTCCAGGAATTTATTCATTTCTCCTAGGTTGTCTAATTTGCTTATGTCTAATTGTTCATAGTGTCTCTTACGATCTTTGTATTTCTGTAGTATCAGTTATAACTTTTCTTTCATATCTGATTTTATTTATTTGAGCCCTTTATCTTTTTCCTCTTGGGGAGTCAAGCTAAATGTCTGTCAATTTTGTTTATTTTATCACAGAACCCGCTCTTGGTTTTGTTGATCTTTCTGTTGTCCTTTTAGTCTATCATTTATTTCCTCTCTCATCTTTTTTTTTTTAAAGATTTATTTATTTGAGAGAGTGGGTGCATGAGAGAGTACAAGCAGGGGGAGCGGCAGAGGGAGAAGCAGACTCCCCACTGAGCAGGGAGCCCGATGTGGGACCCGAACCCAGGACCCTGAGATCATGACCCGAGCTGAAGGCAGACGCTTCACTGACTGAGCCACCCAGGCGCCCCTCCTCTCTGATCTTTATTATTTCCTTCCTTCTACTAACACTGGACATTTCTTCTTCTTCTTCTAGTTCTTTATGCTGTTAGGCTAAACTGTTTGAGATTCCCCTTGCTTCTTTAGGTAGGCCTGTATTGTCATGAACTTCCCGCTTAGAACCACTCTTGCCCCATCCTGTGGATTTCACTGTGGCTCATTTCTGTTTTCATTTGTCTCTCCGTATGTTTTTATTTCTCCTGTGGCCCAGTGTTTGTTCAGTAATATGTTGTTTACTCCACATATTTGTACTTTTTCCAGATTTCTTCTTGTCATTGATTTCTAGTTTCCTACCATTCTGGTCAGAAAAGATGCTTGATATGGTTTCAGTTTTCTTGTGTTCACTGAGACTCGCTCTGTGGCCCAACATGTCATCTGTCCCTGGCAGTGCGTCATGCATATCCTGCCACTTTTGGATGGAATATTGTACATAACTGTGAAGTCCATTTTGTATAATGGGTTGTTTGAGGCCGATGTTTCCTTATTGACCCTCTGTCCTTTCCTTATTATCTACCCATTGATGTAGGTAGAGTCTCCTGTTAGTATTGTATCCATCGAGTCAACTTCTCCCCTTGGGTCTGTTAGTATTTGCTTTACATATTTAGGTGCTCCTGTGTTGGGTACAAATATACTTACCAGTGTTGTATCTTCTTGCTGGATTGGCACCTTTATCATCATGTAGTACGGGAATAAGGGGCCCTTCAGTGTCCTTTGTCACAGTCTTTGTCTCAGAGTCTCTGACAGAAGTGTCAAGAAGTTTTCTTGCTCACCTCCATGTGCACAGAATGTCTTCTGATCCTTCCTTCTCAGTCCGTGTCCTGACTTCTGAAGTGAGTCTTCTGTGGGCAGCATAGACACGAGTCTCCTTCTTTAATCCATTCAGCCATGCCACAGCTTTTGGTTGGAGAATTTAGTCCATTTACATTTAAAGTAATTACCAATAGGTGTGTACTTATTGCCATTTTGTTGTTTTCTGGCTGTTGTTGTAGTTTCTCTCTGTTCCTTTCTTCTCTTTCTCTCTTCTCTCATGGTTTGAGAACTAGTGTTATGTTTAGATCCCATTCTCATTTTCTTTTGTGTATTTACTATACGTTTTTGCTTTGTGGTTACCATGAGGTTCACATACATCGTCCTGTATTTATAACAGTCTATTTTAAGTTCATAGCAACTTAAATTTGAACACGTTCCAGAACATTACCTTTTTATGTACTTTGTCACCTTTTACATCTTTTTATTTTATGTATTCCTTAAGTAATTAATGTAGTTAGTTAATTTTGCTTTTGTCTTTTTACTTTCAAAGCGGCTTTACAAGTGACTAAGCCACTACCCATTTACTCTATATTTACCCTTTCTGAGTGAGATTTTTATTTTCATATTTTTTTTATTAATTAGTGCCAGTTCTTTTCAGCTTAACCGTGTCCTGTTACATTTCTTGTAAGACCAGTTTAGTAGTGATGAATTCCTTTAGCTTTTGGTTGTCTAGAAAACTGTTTATCTCTCCTTTGATTCTAAATGATAACCTTACAGGGTAGAGTATTCTTGGTTGGAAGTTTTCTCCCTTCAGCACTCTGAATATGTTCTGCTCTCCCTTCTGCTTCGCAAAGTTTCTGCTGAGAAATCTGCTGATAGCCTATGGGTTTATCTTGCATGTAATAAGCTGTTTCTCTCTTGCTGCTTTTAAGATTCTCTCTTTAACTTTTAACATTTTAATTATAATGTGTCTTGGTGTGGATCTCTTTCGATTCATCTAATTTGGCACTCCCTGGGCTTCCTGGACTGTGGATGTCTGTTTCCTTCCCAGATTAAGGAAATTTTTGGCCATTAGTTCTGCAAATAATTTTTCTGCCCCCCCTTCTCCTTCTGGGGCCCCTATAATGTGAATGTTATTCCACCTGACGTCCCAGAGGTCCCGTATGTTATCTTCACTTGTAAAACCTTTTTCTTTCTGCTGCGCTGTCTGGGTGAGTTTCATTGCTTCCAGCCCACTGATCTGTTCTGTTTCATCCAGCTGTTGAGCCCCTCTAGTGTATTTCTCAGTTCAGTTCTTGTATTCTTGAACTCTGTGACTTCTGTTTGGTACTTTCTTATTTTCTGTGTCTTTGTTAAAGTTCTCGCTATGTTCACCCACTCTTCTCCTGAGTTCAGTGAGTATCTTTATGACCATTACTTTGAATTCTTTGTCACACAAATTACTTATCCCTGTATCACTAAGGTCTTTTTCTGAGGTCTTGTCTTGCTTTTTCATCTGAAACACATTTCTCTGTGTCCTCATTTTGCTTGACCCTCTGTATTTGTTTCTATGTGTTAGGCTAAACAGCTACCTCTCTCACTCCTGAAGGAGTGATGTTTGGAGGTGATGAAACTTCTCATTCATCCTGCCCTAGCTCTTGGCTGTCTCTTGAACCTCTGTGATTGTTTAAACTGCCTGATCTATTCTTGATATGTCCCCCCGTTGAAGGTGTGCCAAGACCTGTCAGTAGAAATCTCACTTAGTACCTTGCTTTAGGCTGACTGGAAGCCAGACCCTCAGGCAGCAGCTTTTAAAGTCTGCAAATATATACAGTCCTATGGGGCCACAATCGTAATCCTTGCTGGTGTATAGACGAGGAGATGTAGGGGTGTCCCCTGGATGACACAGCAAAACTTGGTCCTTTCCAGATTTGATTCCATCTTTTTCCATAGATATCTACTGAAAGAAGGACTTCTGCTTAAAGGGCCTAGCCCTCTAACTTAACAGCAGGCAAACCAAAGACTCCTTATGTGGCAAGGGGGCGGGGTCACAGTCAAGATTCCAAGTTCCAAGTTTGAGCTTCAACCATCTGTCTTCCCAGTGCTAGCTACCTGCCCGAAAGATGTAGTCATGTGACCTCTGCTGTTAACCTGCTCCCAGGAATGCCTGTCAGCAGATCCCCACCACCCTGCGCTACTTCTAGGCCATTCAAAAACCTGCATGTGAGAAGAATATTCTGGATACTTAAGGCGTTTGCATGGTTTTCCCTATGTAGAGAAAGAGCCTTTTCTGTAGGCACTATATGCAGCATCCCTTATAGCCCCAAAACATGGTACCTAGGGGATTCTGGGCAGTTAGCACCTCCTCCTAGACAGCCCCAGGGTGCATGCAGTCTCCCCTGTAAGTACTGTTGCACAGGTGGTTCACTGACTTCTTTGCCCCCTCGACATCCTTCCACGTTCCTACCCTTCAAACCACTGGGATGGCACCGTCACACACACTGAGGCACACCACCTGAGCTGATGAGCCCTACAGAGCTTCAAAATGCACAGCCCTCGATGTGAGTGAGATACTCAGGCTCCTCTTCTCCCAAAGCTCAAGTGGAGACAGAAAACTTGTTTCTGTTTGGTCTCTGGGAGAAAGAAAAAAACCCCTGCAAATCCCTGGGTAGAAATTTTCATTTTACAATTGTGATATCACCTATGGGAACTGTCCTTCCAACCCTCCCAAATGCATAAACACTTATGTACCCTTGGTAAAGGTAGCTGCATATGCCACCGCAGGTGCTGTCTGTCATGACGCTGGGCTCTGGATAATGGGACTTGTCGTCTGGTTCTTCCCATTAGAGTATAAACTCTTCGGAGTAACAAATTACTTCTGGTACTTTCTTTGTCATTCCCCAGTGCCTAATCTGGTGCTGCTCTGTGCATAGCAGGTGTTCAATAAATACCACCGACAGCTGAGTCCTAGCACTTGTAAATAAGAAAATGCCACATTCACTGTTAAAGGTCTGGTGTTTATTTGTTTTTCTAAAAATGTCTTGGATTCTGTGTGTGTGTGTGTGTGTGTGTGTGTGTGTGTGTGTGTGTGTAGCAGACAGGGATGAATGCCTCGGGATGAAGGCAGAACGGACAATGCGCGGGGATGAAAATCACAGAGGCCCACTGGCACACAGGGGCCTGTGGAGCCCCTTCTAGGTGTATTTATACGCACGCATCTATTTTTAAAGGATGGAGCAACATTCTGATGCAAGATTTGGTGATTTCTGGCGCTTTATCCCCTCCCCCAGCTCAGCTGCAGGGATCACAAGCTCCAGGAGCCTCCGCTCTCAGAAGTGCACAGACGTCGGAACACACAACCTGGACCTCTGGGGAAGCTGACAGAGCTTTTCCTTCCAAAGTTCGAACTCCTTCATGAAGCGAGGCGTCCACTCTGGGCTTGCTGACCCATGAGGGGGGCAGCCGCCACCCGACGCTGGTGCCAGAGAGGCCTAACCTCAGAAGACGCCCCACGGCCCACTGAGGACAGGAGGCACCACGTGGCAGAAAGAGCCGCAATGGCCCCAGAGGCGGAGGGTCTGGACACGTCGTGTCACCCTCGAGGTGTCCGTCCTGGCCTGAGAGGAGACACAACCCGGGCCAGGCTCTGCACTGTAATGGGGAGACGGGGTGCCAGGGGGCAGCAGTGAGTGGCCTCCGTCTGCTACACGTCCCCTGCAGCTGGGAGCTCTACAGCGACAACAACCACTCTAGAAAGATGAACCCCTTCCTACGGTTAATTCTTCCAAAACTGTTTGACTCTCTAAGAAATGGCTATAAAAACATCACGTTGCTTCCCTGCTGGACTGCAAAGCGATCAGAACAAGGTAGTTAGGTGATGTACCTTGATGATTAAGCACACGAGCTCTGACGGGACAAAGACCCGCCTCTGAGTCCCCGCACCCACGCTCTGGCTGTGGGAATTGCTCAGTTTCTGGAACTTTACAAGCCTCAGTTTGCCCATCCGTGAAGTGGGTCAAAAACAGCACCTGCCTCACAAGGCACTAAGCGACTTACCTCATCAAACATTTGGACACACAGTAAGCTCTCAGAATTAACGGCAGTTACTAGTGTTGTTCAGTGCTCCCTCCCATTATGTGGGATTCATCTTCCACACAAACACTAGAACACGCAGGACAGTCATGAGTGTGCACAGAAGTGTGGGTACTGGGTTCACACGGCCATGCCCAGATTCTCACTCACTTACTTAATGTGACTCTGCAGAATTCTGGGAGCAATATTAATGGTGGCCCTTGATGGACCGACCACCCAGCATGTACCACGCGCTTCACTAAACATGTTACATTTGTTGTCACGCTGGATCCTCACGGTGTCAGGAGGCATGGATAACCATCTGCCCCATTCAACAGGCAAGGGAATGGGGCTGACAGAAGCTAAGTGACACACCCCACGGCAAAGCCGTCACGTGGGGACACACATTGTGACCCCAGCCAGTCTGACATCGGTCCACACTCTTGCTCAACGTGGCACACTGCCTCCTGAGCCTCTTGGTGATCCCATCTCCTGGCTGTTGGCGGGTGTGGAGAAGGCTGGTGCCGATGCACTGGTGGGTCCCAGTGAGCCCAGGAGGGAATGCATGAAGCGCTTCCACAGCACAGCTGACCAGACCCGGGTGCTCGGGTGTCAGATCACCCCCACATTTAAAAGCCCCTGAGAGCATCATGCTTTCCAGCACCGTGCAATGATTTTCACTGGGACATCAAGAAAAATCAGATTGTGTGCTAAGACGGGAAACTGAGGGGGGAAACGGGTGACAGATGCAAGGGGCAGAGTCCCCAGTGACGGATCATCAGTGGACGCCCCGTGACAGCATTTCACAGATATGACCCCGCTTTTCAAAGATGGTATACGATTCAAGTCAGGCTGAAGAAACATCAACTCCCGGCACCTCTGGATAGCCTTCCATGAACCCTCACCTGTTACTCTGACCCATCATTCAACGTAGCCCAGTTTCTATCAGGTATTGAGACAAAAAAAATCCCTCAGTCCACGCTGTGCCTCTCAGGTCAGAATCCTGGCTTTGGCGTCTTTGGCCAGGTAGCAGTTCAAGGTCCCACGAGTGATCCCATCACATACTTGACAGGGAGAATGGCGATGTGAAGATTATTCAAACACACGCGCACACACAGACAGGCGTGCACGCACACCAAAACCTGAGGGAAAGGGCTGTTGTGGCCTTCGTGGCAGCGGTCACCCTCGGCTACGGCCCTCGCTGGTGGAGGACGGGGCCACATCACAGCTCCCCCGTTCCAACCTCAGCTTGCTGCCCCTGACGCTCGGGCCTGTTTTATTTTGCTCACATCGTATTCTCCAGGCTCCACAAAAACAGCTCTCAAAGTTTCAAAATGAAGCTTATCTGAGGGTGACTGCTTGAAAAACATTTAAACCAAACTTGACAAGATTTTAAAACAGGCATTTCAGACCGATAGAATCGTAACCATGACACCTTCCACCCAATCTAGCTCTGGCTTTCTGAGCAGGCAGACACCCCCTTTCCTCACGGCCCAGGCTCACCTCCGCCTGCCTGCACATCCGGACACAGGGGATGCCCATCCCTGCGGGTGAGGGTCCCCAGACTTAACGGGTGAAAGTACTGGACGCTCAGTTACGTTTGAATCACAGATTTACCATGAATTAAGTGCCATGCAATATTTAGAGCACATTCATATTAAGAAATTATTTGTTGTTTATCTGAAATTCGGCTTTCACGGGGCATCCCGTGTCTTACTTGCCACGTGCACTGGAGGCTCGGTCCCGGGGACCTGGGACGGGGGGGGGCGGCGCTCACTAGGGCACTCTTGTCCTGGCCAGGGCCCCCCGCCCACTCTCCCTCCAGCACTGCTCTAGGAGGCTCCCCGGCCCCCTCTGGCTGTCAGCACCCCACACACCCCGCGGTCTGGCGTCTTCCCTGCGGCACGCACACCCTTGAAAGAACGCCATGCAATCGTGTCTTATTTCCGGGAAAGGCTGCTCACAGGCTCTGGGGGGCTCCTGACTGGAGCCTGCTTTCATTTTCCTCTTCACCCTCATAGACCCCTCCTGCCCACCGTGCTCAGAGGCCAACACACACATTGGTGTGTGTTCTTCAGTCATAATTTCAAGACCTGCATGAAAGCGAGGCTGAACCAGCATGCCCACCTTGGCAGCGGGAGACCCCCCAGTCCTGGGTCTGCTCCTGTCCCTGGATGCCCTGTCCCCTCACTACTGTGAGCCGCTGCTCAGCGCAATGACACACATTCGAGGAGAACGGGGAAGAAGGAGCCCTTGGCTTCAGGCTTCCAGGTGTGCGCCGGCAGCCAAACGGCCACAGCCATAAAACGCACGGAACAGGGAGAAGTGTGGGCAGAACAATAAAGGGGGAGATGAATGACGCCATGATACAATCTGTTTTCATTTCGTGCGGAGAAAATTAATTTTTGAGGACATTTCACTTAACCTGGCAATATTTTGCAGCTTAACCTCGAATGCTTGAAGTTCCTCTCTCTTATCCCCTTTAAGTGTAGGCCGGGGGAACCCTGTTTTATGACTGGCTGTAAGTCCTGCCTCTCGGCAGATGACCAGCCTTCGGATGACCAGCCTTGCTGCCGCTATTCGGGGCCGCGTGCACTCAGGGAATGAGAGCTACGCGGACCATAACTCTCAGCTCGTCACCTCCCACTGAGACACCCGCTATAACAGTGATTCAACCTCCCAGAGAGCAAACGCGTTACCTTCCAGAGCAAGGCACCGGGGTGGGCTGGTCGACCAGATGAGGCTGTGTAAGCACTCGAGGTGCTCGGCCCCCTCCAGCTTGTATCCAGGGAAGCAGTGGTAGGAGATGACCGTCCCCACGGGGAAGGAGGTCTGCAACTCGGAGATGTTCGCATAGCTGTTGGAAGAGGTGAGAGGCCTCAGGCAGCCTGTGATGGGGGAAAGAGGAGAGATGGTCACACTCAGTCCCCACCGTGCACCGAGACCTGTGAATCCCTGGCCCCTGCGGTCCGCCCGCTGCAAACGTGACACGGCCTCTGAGGGCTCGCACCTCGTCCAGACGCCCGCACCCGCTTTCCTGTTCTATTCGTGACACGGACATTTGGTGTCACACTTACAAACCACACGGAGAGGCCCGGGAGCAGGGAGGAAGTGAGGGAGGGCACAGCTGAAATCGGGGAGCCCCAAGTGCACCACAAAATCACCCAAGGAACTTTGAACCAAGGCCATCCCGGCTGCAAGCCCTGGGTCTGTGCGTAGGCTGGGCACCCTGTCTTCATTAAAGACCCCAGGTGATCCTGACGTGCTGTTGGGGTGAAAACCACTGAGGTGCCGTGCAGGAATCATATTCCCCAGCTGCCTCTCCGTCTCAAAGCCCGTGCAGCCCATGGAGCATCCCCGGCGGCGCAGAATCCCGTTTTGTGAGGCCCCCACGGCAATCCTGGGATTTCCTATCGGCTTCAGCAGTCTCACTGGATGGAATAATGACCCTGCAGAGCTGGGTCTCTGCCCAGGGCGAACTAATTGTGTGTGAAGTAAATAGTGTATAATGGAAATCCCGACTTTCTCTTCCAGTCGCCAAGTACAAATCACATCACGCCCACGGCAACAGATGCCTGAGCTCTGCTCCCGAGCTGACTTACTTCAACGTTAGAAGCATTGAAGGGCTTCGCGCTCCATGGACTGCTCTGGTCAGCGACACGGTACGCAGTGTCTGAGTTTTGGGATGAGACCAGGGTGAGGCCAGGGAGGCCCTGGCATACAGAATTTAGGGAGACGCTCCCTCTGGGGCTGACCATGTCCCGGTGCCACAGAGATCCTCAGACCCACCACCCACACCACATTGAGACACATGGCCACATCCTTTCTCCACGGCCTGAGAGGATTTTACGTCTGAGCTGAGCACGGGCAGTGTTTGCAGCAAAAGTGAAATGCTGGGGAGCAGGGGAGGGTGGGAATCAGGAATAAACAGAATCTAGGACTGAGAAAAACAAGACAAGCATATTAACACGAACAACTGAACGTATCAAGCCCCTCAGCGCCGTTCAAATGAGTTGGCACAAGGGACGGTGCCTGTGCCTCCTCCCGGGAAGGAGTGTCGCTCCCGGCCGCCCACTCGGACTAGCTGGTGTCCCCTAAATTAAAACAAATGGGCCCACAGTGAACAACAGGCATCCGGACCCTGCTTTCCAAAACACAAAGTTCCTACGGAAAATGTGGCCTAGGAACAGCACCCCGCTTGCTCGCCTGCCCCAAAAGGAGTCAGATGGGGTTATCACTCCAGTAGTACATAAGGGAAAGAAAGACACGCTCCTCGGTTGGAGACCGCCCGTCTTAAACACAGCAGCAGAAGTCGGGCTTTGACTCAATAGTTTGATACAACTTCTATTTGCACTTCTAGGCAACAGTGAGCCGGCTCCTCAGGCTCTCACTCCTCCATCTGCAGGTGTGAATAAAAGCCACAGGACGAGACATCAGTCTGACGGCCAGTTATGTCCCCCCTGGGGCTCCAAGGTGTCTGGCCGTCTAAGGGCCACCAGATCCCTCAGGCCCCTGCTGTGCCAGGCGGGCGGGAGGCCTGATGAAGGGACACAGGGTCCCGAGGGGGCCCAAGGGGCCAGGTGAGTGAGGGGAAGGCCGCACCTGAGCCCCTGATGAGGACACGACCATCGGACATTTCTTAAGAAATAATTGGGACCAAAAGAGCTCGTAAAGAGGTGCACAGTATTTATGAGACCTACAAGGAAGGAACCTCTAGAAAGGGCGGGAGAACGGGGGTAAGCAGGAATCGTGAAGGCAGAGGTGGCTGGTGTCAGAGGGAGTGTTCTTGGCCCCAGGACAGGAGGAGACCAGTGGTCCGTAAGGTTCACTGAACATTCAGCCCGACCTCGGGTTGCGTAACGACTCTGCGGAGCATCCCTGGAAGTGCGCCTGAATCACATGTGTCCCTGGAAATGTCATGTGTGGCAGGCCACACGGCCCGGGGGTTTCTGCAGAGACGTGCACTGGGGAGGAGGCGGCCTGGGTGCCCTCGGTCCTCCCGATCCCCGAGCCTTTGTTTTTGCAAGGGGCCATGACTCTTCAGCCCTCACAGAAGGAAATCATTTATTTCCAACGACGGGGCACAAAGAGCAATATCAGAGCCCACTAGCCGTGACTTCAAGCCCAGTGCTAACATTGTCTTGATTGGAACATGCCTGTGCTCTGGTGCAAACAGCCCTCCCCTAAAGCATGAATTATGCATTGGCTTCTGAGTCACAGGTCAAAAAATAAAATCGGAATTAATGTGCACACTAGGACTAAATTTCACAAACAGGGCCCTCCACGTTGGCCCAGGCAAATCTTAAAAATGCAAAAGGATTAATATTTACTGTGTGGTTTGGATAAGATCTGAATTTGATTATTTTTCTGCTCCTTGTGCATTATAAAAAGGGATGACATTAAGAAAAAATAGCCTCTGTAAGATTAGCCTTAAATATATTCTCACTACCACTGAAATGAGCATAAATGCTCTGCTATTTTCATTAAATATACAATAGCTCATCATTGTGCCCATAGCCCGGTTACAAACGCCTATTTCTTAAACGACTTTTGGTTTCTCAGCGTGGAGGAGAATCCAGCATTGCTCAAGAATAAGGGATTCCGGTCTATGCTCTCACAGCGGGCGCGTGGGGCTGGTGGGGACCGCAGGGAGGGTGTGGGGACTCCGAGACCAGAGCTGGCGGGCCCTGCTTCCCTCCACGTCCCGCGGGAGAGACACGCGCATGCTCATGGCCGCGCCCCCACCTTGACAGAGCGGCAGGTTATCCCACGTCCCGTCACTGCTGCACAGCGAAACCATGTTGTACAGGTCTGGGTAGCGGATCTTGAATCCTTTGTGACAGGTGACGATCAGCTTGTCCCCATGTCTGTACGTCTTGTTATGAATCTCAGCGTCGTCAATTTGAGGGATACGGCAATCTGCAATTGTGTAAAAAGGACACGTTATTTTTTTAATTTAAGCTGGTTGTGCTTCACAGCGTGGCAAGAAAGCTCTTATTTTCAGACCTGGCCTCAGGCTACCCTGTGATAAACGGTCCTCACTCACTGCTAGGCTCGGATCCCGAGGGCGAGCGGCAGAACCCCCTTCACCGGGACAGAGGAGGAGGTACCCGGATCCAGCCACGAAAGGAACTTTACCTCCTGCCTGCGACCCTTCACACCATGCTGTCGAGCCTCGGGCGATTTTGGAAATAAGTGAAGAAGGACAAGAGTTGGGGGCTCACAATGTCCCCACCCGGCCGGCCCACCGCGTCTGCCTTGGGGCATGAGATAGAAAGGCCTTGCAGAACAGAGCGGGCTGAGCTGGGGCCGCATCTGCTAGCACCTCCCTCCGACCCGATCCAGTCTGCACAGGTAATAACGCAGCAGCACGTGCGGCCGCCAACACCACACAGGCTCCCAGCGGGCAGCGTCGGGGCAGGATGCGGACTCAGGAGGAGAGGCGGCCGGCCGGGCGTTGGGGGCAGAGGAACAAGGAGTCCACACAGCAGACGATTAAAAGATAAAATCAAGTGGATAAATTATAGTCCTCCTCTAACACAGTCTCCTCCCAGTTTACCGAGCATCCCCCCACCCTGTGCCACCAGCCCGGGCCCTGCTCCCTCTGCCCACCTCTCACGGCACACCTCGGTCCCAAGTCTCTGACTTTATGTGGAAGCAGAAGCCACTTATTTCCACTGCTGGAGTCCGGTGGGCCCTGCCTTACAGATGGGTTGTGCTCCAAGCCTCTCAATTTTTAAAAAAAAGGCAAGATCCAAGAACAGCATTTTGACAATCACAGAAACTTTCTCCAGAAATTTCTCAATGCTCTAAAAGACTGTGGGTTTCTCAGCCACCCTGAAAGCCTTCTGAATCCACCATATGGTTGAAATGGTGTCAATAGGAGCCTTGACCTTGGGGTTCCCCTAAGCTTGAACTGTCGGCTCTGAGGCCTGAGCCTGGGAGTACTGAAGCCTCAGAGGGAAGACACAGGGCCAGCCCGTGGCCGGGAACACAGGCGGCTTTAAAAAAGCACGTCCCGGGGGCTTTGATATGGGGTTGGGGAATCTGACGACAGACTCTAGAAAACAGAATGTCAGCGATAGGGCAGCCCGGCGCCGAAGGGAGAGCACAGGGAGGTGGCCATCTACTGCCTCCCGGGGTCTTTCAAAGTCAAGTCTTGGGGGCAGCGTCTGCCTGCGTCTCCGTGTCAGCTCGAGAGGGATGGCGCCGCCCGCGTTCCCCCACGTGCCCTCCGCACTCCCAGAACCCGCGCACGGCTGGCAAAGAGGAAATGCTGAGGAAGTGGGACCCCGGAGCCCCGGGACTCCCCCAGTCCGTCCCTCTGCCTGTGGATTTCAGCAGGAAGCGACCTTGCTGGAAAACTCTTCTGGTTCTGGTTTGACGCTCGTTTTTGAGCTTCAGGCTATGGAAAGGGGTTTCCAACTGCTCACGTTTAACCAATAATTTTTCTACCAGAATAGACAAATTCCCCCCAAATAGATGCCAGAATGATCCTGACCAGAGTCACGAGGTGAGCGACAACTCTGCACGGTATTGCTCCCTTCTTAATGGGAAATGTGAATTACCTTTTTCAGTATTGCTACGCAAGAATTATTCGCAGCAAAGACTACATCACCGTTCCCTGACTGACTTCAGACTTGTCCAGGAACTGACCCAGGTCCTCAGGAGGCAGCCAGCCATCAGGGAGTAAAGTCAGTGGACAGGAGCGACGCCGGGGCCCGCGGGTTGCGGTCAGTCATGCGGAGCGCCCTGAACTCCTGACCAGACACCTGTGTCCACAGGCAGGAGCTGGGGGCCACCGCAGGGCACGTGGCACAAGGTCCCAGGGCACTACGGCCTCCCAAGCTCCGCTCACGGCAGAGTCACCACGGGAACCAGCCCCTGCAGGACAGAGACACACACTGAGCGGGGAGCGGGAGCCACCCCCCCAGAGCCAGACTAAGATTCTACCCACAGCGTCTGGCACCTGACCCCCCACCGAAGGAGGGCGGATCGGAAGACAGCCTGGCCCAGCCAGCTGTCCGTAGCTGGACGTGACTACGCACCTCATTTCTATGGAGGCAGAGAAGCCAGGCTCTTTAGTGCCCGAAAATGAATACATAATCTTCATCAGGTGTGAGGTTTCAAACAGAAATAACACAAATTTTCTATAGCACAAGTGCATCCCATTGGCAGAAAGAATGTTTAAAAACCACTGCAAAAACACCGTTACCAAGGACGATGAGTGGGGCCAGCGATCAAACCCTACGTAGACGGGCGCAAATGGGCACTTTGGGGATGTAACTGAGGGATCGCAAAGCCTCCCCTTCTAGAAATCCTCTCCCCAGCCCACCCCATCGCTGCGTCCAACTCCTGCTTGTGTACCAGGGGATTTAATATAAATAAATGAAAGCAGGGATATTAAGGCGGTATTACACATTTATACCTAAGGACAAATTAATCGATCACATTAGTTAGCACAGAGCAGGATCCTAAGGAGCAGAAAAGGCAAAGTTTTAAGAATATAAACACACACGAGATTTACCGTCCTTTTTAAATGTCGGTTATATGTGAACATGAATCTGATTCCTTCAAGTGCCAACTTCTGACACCCATTCTCCCTAAAAAGTGTTTCTGGGAACGTGCGCACACAGTACGCACTGGATACGCAGCATTCATGTCCATGTGGGAAAGGCACTGGAAGGCTGCCGGATTTTGGTTACACCAGCATTTATAACGCTCGGTATTCATTCATCCATCAGTTTCATTCATGCCTCCATCCGTCCGTCCGTCCATCCACCCGTCCGCCTACCCGTCCATCGGTGAATCCCCGAGCACCCAGCCTACCTGCACCGCGTCCCAGGTGCTGGGCACAGAGTTAGGGATCATGCTCTTGCCGCACCCGCGTGGAGAAGGACCACGAACAAGTTAGCAGATGCGTAAGCTAGAGACTAACACGCCATGATCACCGCTCTGATGAACAGGTGCCAAGGTCACAGAGACCGACCGGGGGCCCCTGGAATTCAGGTGGACAGAACAGGCACCCTGAGGAGGTGACACTGACGAAGCGGAGCTGCAGAGCAAGGAGCCTCATCGTGCCGATCTGGGAGAAGGAGGCTTCGGGCAGAGGGACAGCAGGGGCAAAGGCTAGGAAAACGCGAGTGTCTGTAAAAATACGCAGGAGGCCCATGAGTCTGAGAACCAGTGAGCAAGGGCAGGCAAAGGCCTTAGAGACTGGGGCACAGCACATTACGTAGTTAGGGACAGGGCTGGAAAGAGGCGGTGCTTTCGAGAAGCCTTCTGGTTTCAGGGTGATAAAACAACGGAAGGCCCTCATCTCTGGGCAATACTCATGAAGCCTACTTGTTCTCTGTGTCCTGAGATGTTCCTGAGCTTGTCTGGGTTTTAAACATGGAGTGTCTTGGGCCAAAAGTCTTATCAGGGGAGTCGATCTCTGAAGCCAAATAAACTTTTAATTACTGAAACCTGATGGGAACAACAGCTTTTGCATGGGCTGCACGTGAGCAGAAAATATTCACTGACTTTCAAAAACCTTTTTAAAATTTTTTTGATTTTCAAGGGAAAGCTTGTTCAATGTAACCTGCCAGATTGCAAAGTTAAAGAGGAAAAACCACACATCTATCGCAGTAAATACAGAGAAGCGTTCCGTGTCATGCGACACAGACTCCCAACTAAAACACGGAGAAACCCCCTTCCCTAACACACCATGTCTACGCAAATCCCACAGAGTGCGTTCTTGTGAATCGCGACACTGACTGTTGTTAACTGAGGCATAACTGACAAACCACATCCTATTGCTGTCGGGTGTAACCACGGTGATTCCATATTTCAAACTTTGGCCATGGCCCCTGGGGAGTCCCCATCTGTCCCCTCCCACCGTGGTCACAGGACCACAGACGGTACTCCCCCCGGCACGTTCCCTCCTGCGCCTCACCTCACGGTTGCAACCCTCTGGGCGCCCCGACCCGCCCCTCCCACAGTAGCGATCTCCACATTCACGGGGCTGTCTCTCTTTTGTTCGTTTCTTGTTGAGATTCCTCCTGTCACACGTAGTCGTCTTTCTTTGTCTTACTTCACCTTAATTCTTTGTACTAACTTTGACTCTAAAAAAACACCTTGAAAATGAAGGCAGAGACAGGGCGTGCTCTCAGCCCGGGGCAGCGACCGCCGGCGCTCAGGGACTACCGAATTCAGTGCTTCGAGGACTTCCATAGAGAGGAGCTACGCGAAGTCCGAGAACAGCCACCCGTCAGGGTTAGAAGCTCTGTCCTCACCCTCAGGCAGGGGCGGTTTGCAGAGACTGAGCCGTTGCCGTGAAGGCCGCACCTCACCTGCATCAGCTCCGCGGCTGCAGAGACACTCGGCCACCTGCCGCCACCCAGTTAACCTCCGAGCACCGTTCTCAACTCGAACGCACCCACGCAGTGTAACCACAAAGAGCAGACGCAGCTATGCTTGCCAGACGTAAGCGAAACCTCGCCGCGACGAGAAACCATGGTGTCACCGCGGCAAACACACATCCACCTGCCGACCTGTCACGGCCCTGCTCTGTCTCCCTAAACGGATCCCGCCTGAACAGACGCGACGGTAACTGAGCCGATCTTCTGAGCACCATGCGCCTCTGCATCAGCACGCGCAGTTTGGACCTTTACCGCGCTTTCTCAAGCGCCGAGGCAGTGAGTACACGGCTGGTGGGTGGCACGGCAGCGAGAAGCCCGCATGTGCCCCGAGCTGCTCTCCTGCCCTGACAGAAACGGGACGGCCTGGGTTGTAATCGCGGTAGAAGAGAGACACAGTGACTTGTGACGCCAAGCCGCCTTCGCCCCCGGCCCCAGCCTCAGTGCTCTCCCACCAGCATGCAGCATCGCCCCAGACGGCGCGGCCGGCATCCCGGCCCCAGGCTCCTGCGGCTCGTCCCCGCGCCCCGCAAGCGGCTGCCACAGGCAGGGGCAGGCACTTTACCTTCTTGCGCACAGAAGGGCTTATCGCTGGGGATCCAGCCGAGGGTTCCATTAAGATGTCTCACACACAGTCTCTTTGTAGGGCCCTTGAGCGTGAACCCATCTTGGCAGTGAAACTGGGTGACAGAGCTTTCAAGGAAAACCCCTCCGCCGGGCGTCCTGAAGCCATCCTCGGGGACGCCTGGGTCAGTGCACACCTGAAGGTCATCCAACCCTACATTGACAGAGAGAAGAGAAGCTGCCTCTGAATAGGTCCTTCTGATGCCGGGGGCCTTCCTGCGTCGTGACAGACCCCGTCACACACCGTGAGCACCCAGCCACTCCAGCACGTACGCATTCTGGTGCACGCCATACCCGGCTTCTCGCTTGGAACAGCGCCCGTTAGCGTCTCTGTCCAAAGGCCAAGTCAGCCCTTCACGGGGGCTCTGGGACAGGGAGGGGAGAAGGAAGCCACACAGGGAACCAAACAGGGTGAGATGCTGCGGGGGGTGAGGCGGGAGGGTCAGGGAGGAGGAGGCAGATTCTGAGCTGCCCTGCAGGACAGATGGACCACATTCCACGGACAGAACCGAGGCTGCAGGTGATGCAGGGCTGGCGTTCCACAGGACGGGCCTGAGCAGCGAACACCCTTCTCCTCTCTGCTCCTCACCCCTGCCCCACCTGCCAGGCCTCATCCAGGCTCCCTGACGGTCTGGGTATCTTCCAAACCCACCCAGCCACCCCCTCTGTGTCCCAACAAGAGCGCAGCCGCCACCGGTGCTCAGCTGGGAGCCATCCAGGGAAAAATAACCTGTTCATCTCTGTGTCCCACAGAATCCCTCATCACCGTCCATTGCCCCCACACATGTGCGAGGAATGAACGGAGTCCCAAAGAACCCACCCTCGCCCTTCATCGCCCCCCCCCCACGTGCGGGGAACAAGCAGAGTCCCACGGAACCCTCCCTCGCCCCCACACACGTGCGAGGAATGAACGGAGACCCACGGAACCCGCCGTCTGGAAGCCCCTCCGTGGGGCTGGTCAATGCCGGCCCTCAGTGTCTGGCAGCCTCGAGAGGCCCCAGAGGGCTGGGCTGCGTGCAGGTGGCAGGGGACGGCTGAGGCCCCCAGTGAGTGGACATCAGCCAGACAGAGGGAGGATGGGCCTGAGGGGACGGGTGGGGCACAGAGGGGGGACGCGGCGGAGCTCAATCCAGCAAAGGGGTGGCAGGAAGACCGCCGGAAATGCCTCCCCGGCACCAGCTGCACCAGGATCCGAAGGAAGGTTTGTGAAAGGCCGACCCACAGACCCAGGTGCTCTCTGGTGGGTGGGGAAGGGCTGTCCTCCTGAAAAGCTCTCCAAATGGCTCTGAGCAGCCAGTCCAGCTCCTGGGAGGGACAGCAGTTGAGGTCTGTGGATTCTTGAGGCTCCTGCCACAGTCCTGGAGGGAAATGATGGGCCAGACAAGGGGGGAGCACTGGACCAGAGAGGTTGCAGGTCATACTAAGGACACAGAGGCTCGAATTCAGGGACTGTGGCCAGGGGGAGGGGAATGAGTTAAGAGAGGCGTCGAGGATGGCTGCCAGGGCCGGGCACCGGGCCTACATGCAGAGGGAGGGGACATGGTGAAGACCCGCCTGGGGACCCGTCCCGGTGCAGCGGCCGGGTGCGGTGAGTCTGAGTCCTCGGGACACCCAGGCCAGGTGGGGACGACCAGCCAGAGAGCCAAGTCTGAAGCCGCGCTGTCCTGAGCCGCAGCTCTGCACACAGGCGGCAGCTGAAGGCACAGCTGGGCGGCCTCCTGGGAACACACACGGGGAGAGGACCACACATGGCTCAGACAGAGGCAGCCACCAAGGGCGTGAGAACACAGGATGGCCTGAGCAAGGCCGCAGAAGCAAGGGAAGGCATCTCAGGGGGCAGGCAGGCCGCTGGCCGGAGAGGGAGTGGCCGGGGCGGCTCCGGGGCTGGACGGGCCTGTGGGGGAGCCTGCCTGCCCACGAGTGAGGGGGAGGCCGCAGCAAGCGTGCACTTCCCCTGCACGGTGCTTCGTGGGGACAGAGAATCACAGGGCACAAGCCATCCCTGCGTTAGGGTCAAGGGAGGGACTTTTCTGTTACCGTATTAAAATTTGAGGATGAAAGAGATCTGAACCTGTGTCCACAAAGCAGGGAGAAAGAAAGCCTGCAGATGAGGAGCAGATGGGGAAGCAGGTGTGTGGGTTTGCTCAGTCCTTTGTGAACAGGTACAGAGACCCCAAAACCACTGACAGATGTCCTTTCCCTCAAAGGGTTTGCAAAGTCGTGAAGATGTGAGCCCCACCCCCGCCACACGACAATGAAAGGGCTGCAGGGGCAGCAGGGCGAGTGCCGTGAGCCCCAGGCCAGGGCTCGGACCAGCCCTGTCAGTGTTCCCACGCCCACATGTGGGGCGGACAGTGAGTGCTGGGGGGCAGGGGGCTCTGGATTCTGGCTCAGATGTGCAGACGTGTGTGTTTCAACCTTGGTAGGGATGCCCTCCCTTCACCCGCCCCAGGACCCTCTCCCTAAGTTAATGCATAAAAAATCAATTTTTGTGTCTCTATTCTGTTTCTTCCTCCAAAGACTCACCCAGCAGTTTACAGAGAAATGGAAACCAGCCTGAGTTCTAAATTGATTTGGCTACATTTGATACAGTCTTCCTTTCTCGAATATGACTTTCCAGTTATAATAAGCCAAAAGATTGCTTTTCACACTGCTTTCATTTTTATGATTCTTTGCAGAGACTTCTCGTGTTGCTCACAGAACGGTCTGGTGGGTTTCAACAGACTCTAAAGTCCCCAGACCAGAGGGGTCAAGCCCTCATAATGATGCCCTTCTCTGGGGGGTGAAGACCCTGCATTCCTGTCACCATCCCTGCTTTCATTTGGAAGGAAGGGGCAAGAGAACATGTTGCCTTCCGCCCAGAAGCCAAGTACAAATTACAGTCCTACCCCTGATCTCTCCTGGGGTCACAGACGCGGGAAGGACACTCAGTGCCAGGGGTAGAGATGCCAGGGCCGAGGAGAGCGTCACAGGCCGGTACTCTGGGCCAGGCTTGCAGATCCCAGGCCCCAGGTGCTGCCCCCACCCAGCAGGCTACTTCCCTGGACTCGGGTCCAGAGAGAAATGGTGTCCCCTGGGGTGTGGGGATGGCTGGCTTTCATGTCTTCACATCTCTAAAGTGCCCGAATAGCTTTAGGAAGACTGCATACATCTGGGTTCTCCAGAGAACATGGCCAGGGGGAGAGCTCACTCTCTGTCTCTGTCTCACACACACGCACACACACCAAGGACCTGGCTGACAGAGGCATGCAGGCTGGGAAGTCTAAGATCCGCTCGGCAAGCTGGAGGCCCAGGGGGCTGCTAGTGTGCACTCCAGCCTGAGTCCGAGTCTGAAGGCAGGAGGAGACCGATGTGCCAGCCTGAGGATGCAGACAGAGAGAAAGAAGTCTTTCTTACTCAACTTTTTGTTCGATTCAGGCCGTCAACAGATTAGATGAGGCCCACCCACATCAGGGAGGGCAGTCTACTTTACTCAGTCTACTGACTGCAACGGTGACCTCATCCGGAAGCACCCCACAGACCCACCGAGACTGCTGTGGGACCAAATGTCTGCGCGCCCAGGGCCCGGTCGTGTTGACGTGTGAAATGTCTCTTGTATATACGTGCTGTGTTCTGGATTGAATTTAGGAGAACTGTTAGGGGATACCCCCTCCCAGGACTTATTAAAATGGGATGTTCCCCTTTCTTTCCACTTCCCCCAAAAGAAACATACTGGAAATCATCCCGTGAACTCTGTTCTCCTCCCGAAGCTGTGACTGCTGGATTGTAAAGCAGAATTTGGAGCCTGGGAGGGCAGGTTCCCAGGGCCAGACCCTCCGAGCAGGCCAGCTACCCCCAAATGGGTGTGCGTCTGGTAGGCTGATCCCCACGTTACAGAAAACACCAAGAGAACGGCTCTGCAGAGACATGGCCCGGGCTGGGGACTGACCCTCCAGGGTACTTTGAAAAGTGGCATCTAGAGCTCTGGCAAGGTATGGAAAGTGACTGTCTTGCTCCATGGGATGAGGTGTCCGGAGTGAAGAATATGCTCTTCTTATACCGTGCCACCTTCTGACCGCTGTCTCTTCACCCTGTCCTTATTCCCTCTCCTGCGTCAGTGGCTGGGCCTGGCCAGCAGCATCCTGATGCTCGGACGGTCCAGGTGCGGAGACGCAGAACCCAGCCGTGGTCCTTCAGAGGCAGAAGATGTGGACAGGGAAGGAATACGTAAGGAGAGCACAGAGCTGGGTCCCTGAGGAAATTTTTCTGTCCTCACAGCATAGTTTTCCCATTTATTGTGAGAGCAGGAGTCATTCCTGCTGCTGGATGTGTGAGTCATCCCGGGCTGGATCTCAGGGAGGCTCAGCTCTCACCTGGGTCATCTGTCCTCTCAGAGAGAATGGTTTTCTGCCTGGGGCAGGGGGTGTGACAAGCTGAGGGGACTGTGCCTATGATTGGTGGTCGGTGTGGCTCATTTGTTAGTGGGTGTGACTGCCCAAAGAGTCCCTAACCCCCACCTCTGGCCCTACACTGCAGAGGGAGGAGGAGGTGTGTGCAGGTGTGGATGGGAAGAAGGTTGTAAAACAAAGGAATTCAGTCCACTCAGGTTGGGAGAAGGGAGGAGGGTGAGAAGGTGTAGGAAAGAGCCTGTCTGTGCTCGGGGAGAGTACTTCGTGCCTCCCTCATCTGTGGAATCCAGCCATCCAGCCATCCAGCCATCCATCCACCCATCCACCCATCTACCATCCACGCACCCATCCATCCACCCATCCATGATCCATCCACCCATCCATCCATCCACCCATCCATCCATCCATCCATCCAGCCATCCATCTACCATCCACCCATCTACCACCCACGCACCCATCCATCCACCCATCCATGATCCATCCACCCATCCATCCATCCATCCTCCATCTACCCAACTATCCTTCATCCTCCATCCATCATCCATCCATCCATCCATCCACCATCCACCCATCTACCACCCACGCACCCATCCATCCACCCATCCATGATCCATCCACCCATCCATCCACCCATCCTCCATCTACCCAACTATCCTTCATCCTCCATCCATCCATTCATTCATCCATCCTCCATCTACCCAACTATCCATCCTCCTCCCTCCCTGCCTCCATCTCTCTCCCTCTGCCCTTCATTAGCAGCACCTGT